GGTGCACCCCTAGACGGCGGGTTAAACTCCAGGTCCGGGATGTTGCCAGGCTGTCACGGATCGTAAAAGTAGCAAGAAAGGGTCAGGACCACGTGTCTGTGGATGGAACCAGAGAGAACACCGTCGCGGTCCAGCGCCCCAGGACTCTTGCACCTCATCCTCGGGAACGGTGCAGTGGGGGAAGGCGCCGGGTCCAGGGATGGAGTGCAGGGGCCCGGGAACAGCCAGTCCTCAACACAGGGCTGGACGAGGCGCCGCCTCCAGAGGACAGCAAGGAGGCCCACTTGGGAATCGGACAAAATCCCTGCTTCTTGGCATCCACGGAATCCGTGACGCTGTTCCCGTTGTATAGACGCAAACGACATAGAGCCAGGAACCCCGTGGCCAAGAGAAAGGGGTCCGGCTGAAGCAAACCACCCAGGCTGACCCAGGTGTGGGGAACCAGTGCTGGAGCCTGAGCAACAGATGAAGTCCAAGCGGCCTCCATGAGGAGCTCCGTGTCCCGAGGTCTGGACCAGGGGCCTTACCGTCCAGGCCCCTGGTGGACACCACGCTCTGGATCACTGACCTCCCAAAACAGCTCTGGGAACGTGGCGTTCGGTGGGGAAACGTGCCAGGACGGCTCCACTTTCGTTACAATTACGAGAGAGCCCGTGTGTAAAAGAGCGACCAGAAGAAGTGAAAAAAACACCTGCTGGCTCTACAAGGGAGAAGACGCGCTTTTTTACATACAATCTCCGGGTTATGACACTTTGGAGAGCTGCGTCCTGCTGCTCACCCGGGCAGCCCTGCCCATAGGGCCCGGCCTGGACCAATCCCAGCCCCCCTGTCCCGTCCAGATGTTCTGACGCTTCAGCTCCCTGAGCAAGCCCACCTCCCCGGCCTTGGGCACTTTTGTTCAACTCAAGCCCTGCTCTCCTGAGTCCAGCCAGAACCAGCGGAGTCTCAGCCTCAGGCATCGATTCGGTGTGCCACCCTCACAGGGGCTCCCCTGACTGGGGCACCGGCGCCAGCCTCATCCCTCACGGTGGCCACAGCCCTCTCCCTCGCAGGATGTATACCACGGGCCGCCTGCCTGCCCCGCCAGCCCATAGCTCCTCGCGAGGGGAATGGGTCTGTATTGCTCACCAGCTAACAGAGGTTCTGGCACGTGAGCAAGTGTTCGAGAGGAACAAGGGAAAGAGTATTCCCCTTTCCCGCCCCAAGCATCATCCTGCCAGCCCAGAACGAGGAGCACGAGCTTCAAACATCAACCCCACGGTGAGACAGAAAATTCTCCCCATCTGTTGGAAAACCCTGCGGACAGACCCCAGTTACACCTCGGTTCCAAGCGCACATGTAGTTCAGCTACAGTACCTGAGGTAAGGCCCCCTGCATGTTTTCTGGATGTGCATCTGCTTTCTGAGGAGCTGGCAAGACGGGTGGATCCGCTGGTCTCGTTTTCTGCTCTTCCGCTGACCTGCCGTCCACGGCTGAACAAGAGAATAAAAACAAGCGTTTTCCCACTGGCCACACAGCCTAGAGGAGATTCAAAGTGGGTCGTAGAGGACGACATCGCAGCAGCCGTGATCCCTTAGGAAAGGACGTGCTGAGACCTGAGGAAGGTCATTCAGGTGAATCCCAGAACGGCCAGAGGGAACCCAACCTTTCTCGAGGCGCTGGCAGTTGTGGTCCTTAACCCCAACCCACGCCCCACGAGCAGGGCGTCTTAACCTCCTCCCTCTCAGGGAGTACAAATGGTAGCAGGCAGGCCACAGGCCTGAGCCGCCTGCAGCACCTCCTCAGCCTTCCTTGCTGCCCCTCAGCACCTCACGGAGAAATACAGCAGGATCCCCTGCAGGCTCACCAGGACTCTGCCCGGGGCCTTTCCAGAAACGGTAACACGGGGAGGAAGTTGGGGAGGGGGGTCCCAGCAGAGCTTGGGACCACAGGACCTCCATTTCTCTGCGAGACAGAAAGGAGGGAACGCGGGTACAGACAGCAGATGCTGAGGAAGCTGCCATGGACAAACGGAACTCACATCCCCGTCTAGCCCCACGGCTGACAGTGCTCCCGCTCCTGGTTGCCTGGACTTCTTGCCCACCTGTGGCCCGCCCCGCCCTCAGGGATGGTGCAGCTGGTACCTCTCCACTGGTCAGCCACGCTGATGTAGGACAGGAAGCCACAGAGCATCAGGAACGTGAGCGAGAAGAGTATCACGTTCCGCTGCAACCTCGACAGCTGCTTCCATTTCTAAGGGAGGCACGGGGAAGGAGGCTTGTGACCGGAAACAACAGCACCGGGACCCCGGTCCGCCGCGGCCAGTTCGTTCCCGCGGCCGGAGCAGGGGCCCTCTCGGCACGGACAGGGACGCCGGGAGAGCCGCGCGGAGGAGCCCCGCCTACCGCACGGCCGCGGCCGAAGGGACCCCGCCGTCTGCCCGGACGCGAGGTGTGGACGCCCCGAGCCCGAGACCGCGGCGCCCAGGCCGAGCTCCTGACCCGCCGAGCTCCGGCCCCAAAGACGGCTGCGGGTCGGCGACCCCGGGACCCCGCGACCCCGGCCCGGACCCTCACCCTCCAGCACGAGCGCCGCCGCCAGCTTTTGCTTCCGTCGTAGCTCTGGCCGAGGCTCAGCGTCACCGAGATGAAGTCCCGATGCGGCGCCGGCGGCGGCAGCGGCAGCGGCGGATACATGACAGCGTCGCAGGCGGCCCGGGGGGGCCCCGCCCCCTAGCGGCGTCAGGAGGCCGGGCTCTGAGAGGGGCCGGGGGCTCCGCTGGTCCGACACCTGCGGGCAGCCATCGCAGCGGCGTCCACACCCCGCCCATCGCGTGCGCCGCCAATGCGCCTGCGCCGCGCCCTCCTAAACCCCGCACTGCGCCTGCGCGCGCCCTCGCGGCCCCTGCGCGCGCGCGCGCGCGTGTTTACGTCCCACGGCGTCGGCGCACGGCCGCACCTGCGCCGTGACCTCACGGCCTCGGCGCTCGCCCGCGCGCGCCTGCGCACAGCCGCACCTGCGCCGTGACCTCACGGCCTCGGCGCTCGCCCGCGCGCGCCTGCGCACAGCTCGCCCGCTCGCGCGCAGCCTCGGCCTGGGCTCGGCGTGCGCTCCGGGGAACCCGCCGGCGTCGCCGCGTGGCGGGGATTCCGGGGCCCGACTGCCCCGCCCGGAGCTAGGTGGGCCGCGCAGCCCGGCGACGGGACGGCGGCTCCCCGCGTCCATCGTCGAGGCGCGACGACGGCCCCCGCAGCGAGTGGAGGCGTCCCGAGGGTCGGCTGGGCTCCGGGCCGTGCTCGGTGCTGTGCGGCCGGGCCCCTGGGCTGAGCCCGCCGCCCCCCCGCGGTCTTGGCCGTGCGTCCTGCTCCATGAGCACCGGGCCTGTCCCCGAGAGCCCTCGTGCGCTCCGGTGCCCCCACCCCTCTATCGGCGGAGAGGGCGGGCAGACTGGGAGCCGCCCCCAGGGTGTCCGACCCACTCACTGGGTGGTCCCAGCCCCTTCACCCCCGCCCCCGCTGAAGAGTTGGGCGGCGCAGAGCGCGAGCGGCGGGGCGTGTGGCCCCCTGTTCCGGCGCACGGACGAGCGCGGCAGGCACTGCTCTGGCCGGGCCCGGGATGGGATCATCACGGCTTCCTGCGTTTATTGGAAATCTGCCCCGCCCCCGCCCCCGCCCCCGCATTCTGTCGCATCCGAGCGTGGCAGTCCCTCAGAAGTCAGTGGTTCCACGATGGCTCGTCTGGGGTCAGAGACTGTCCGGGTAGCCCGAGGGGCCTCTCTGGAGGACACAGCGGGAAGGGGCGCGCACGCCCGTGAGAAAGGACTGGGAGCCCTACCATCCTGTAAGCTGCGGGTCAGCGGAGACGGCGGTCCGCACCCGGCACCTCCCTGCCTCCCTCCGCGCTGTGTGAGACCTAATAGAAGGGTCTAATTATTTTAAAATAAACCGCCCTTTCACAGCAACGGCGTCCGTAGCTGACCCTCCTGCTGAGAAGACAGGTTGCACAGTTTGGGGCTGTGGCGCTGGGGAGCGGCAGCTGGGGGCGAGACCCGCGACCTACCGGGACCTCCCCCTTGGCGGCCCTTCCCCGCCCCGGGCCCTCCGCTTGCCTGCGGAGCAGCCGAGGGAAGGGTCCCCAGGCACACGGGTCACCTCTGAGGTTACGAAGGACTGGCAGGGCCTGGGGGGTACACAGTCCTCCTGGGGGGGAGGGGTTGGGCGCGGCCCAGGTCAGGATGCAGGGGGCCCAGCGCCCGCTGCAAGCCGCCGTCCAGAGGACATCCTTTTCCTGGGGGGAGCCCGGCTCCCACGCGGTGAGGGCTGCAGCGCAGGCCAGGGTGGGGGGTGACCCCCTGTGTTGCCTTGCGGAGGGGAAAGCAGGCAGGGGCGAGGGGCTAGGCCCGCGGCTTTCCCCCCAGCCCCGGTCTGGCTGCAGGGGTGCAATGCCCGAGCCTGCGCCCCGACATGGAGGCCGCGTCTCCCTCTAGAGAGCGCCACGACGTGTGGCCGACTAGCAAGCCCGCTTCCGGTCGGTGGAGAGTCGAGGGGTGGAGCTCTCTCTGGCCGCTTGCGTTCCAGACTGAGGAGCCACGTGGTGAGGCCCCTAGTGTCGGCCCCCTGGTTCTTGGTCCCCCTGGTTCTTCGTCGAAGCACCTAAAATGCAGGGGCCTGAACCAACCACAGAGGTGGCGGAGGAATCGAGGCCTCTGGGGAAATGGAGAGGCTCCCCCTTTAGGTGTGCAGGCTGAGTGTGGGCTGGGGGTGGTGAGAAATTGGGGGCCAGGCTGTGCCACCCCCCCCCCCAGCCTCACCCGGCTTCCTGTTGGCTGCCAGGGAGGGAGGGAGGGGGCAGCACCTTCCACACCTCGCCCTGCGAGGGAGGGGCGCCCTCCCCTCCCTCCCCTCCCTCCCTGCCCATCTGTGTATCTGCAGAGAAGCTGCGTGGCTGTCGCTCTTCACCAAGGGGAGCTGCGTGGAGGGCTAGAAGGGGCCATTGATCCTCCAGTCCCCCCCCACCCCCCCCAGGCAGGGAACGGGACCGGGATGCCACACTTCTGCCTCCCGCAGCCAGGAGCCCAGAGTAAAAAACCCTCGTAGGTCTCTAGCAGGCCTAGGATCATTTGTGTCCGTGGGAACCCGTGGTGGGAGAGGCCCCACCCTGGTGGAGTAAGCTGTGTCCCCAGCCCTCAGGCCCTGGGGTTGGCAGGTCTGGGAGCCAGTCAGGCCTGCAGAGCCCTGGCCTGGTTCTCATCCAGGATGAAGGGGGACCGGAACTCGCGGCCTTGCAGGTACATCTCCAGACCCTGGAGACAATAAAGTCATGATGGCCACATTTTCACATCTAGTGCATAGAGGGGGCACAAACTGTTCTTGAGCCACAGTAAGGCAGGGCCGGAGAGGCTTCCAGAACAAGGCTTGGATGCCACCTTTAGACCCAGGTCCTAGGAGTCTCTAGGCATGCTCAGGGAGGTCCAGTCAGAGGGTCGGGGCCAGTATCGCTCCCTCAGCAAGGCTTCCATAAAGTCTTCCTTGCCGGAACCCCAAACGCTGACATCTTCCTGCCTCTCCGAGACCTATGAGGATCTTGATTCCTCATCCCCACTCATGGCCCAGAAGATCCTCTCTAACTTAAGAAACTATTTGCCCCATTGGTAAACTGAGTCAGAGCTGTGACCTTCCACCCCAGCACCCACTTCTCCCCAGTCTTCCCCCCCCAATCATGCATGCCCTACCCCAGAAAGCTCTAGACGGGGCCGTCGGCTCTCACCTCTCCAGCGTAGGACACCAAGGGTGAGATCTCACAGATGGCTGGAGGCTCTGTGCCGTCCGGCAGGCTGTGGGAGCCCACGTGTCAGCACCTGCTCCGGGGTGTGTGCCCTGGGGCTGTCCTTGCCTGACCCAGCTCCCCAAGGTCTCTTCTCAGCAATCCCCGCTTCCTCTGCACACCCGGAGCCCTCCGCAAACTGCCCCTGCCCAAGTGGCAGGCTCTTCTTTGGGCGGGAAAACCCCCCTCGTCCCTGCAGGCACCCCTCACAGCACCCGGGCAGCCAGGTTAGGCTGGGGCTGCGGATAACTGAGAAGATGGAAACCTCACATCCTTTCCTTCGCTGGCCCTGAAGAGTGACCTGCCTTGCTGTTTTCCAAATGTCATGCCGAGGTCTTGGTTTCAGAGCTCATAAGTGAGTCAGGAAGGGTGGCAGCCACCCACCTCCCCCAGTCCCCAAGCAGACTTCTAGGGGTTGGCCCCGAGGCCCCAGTCACCGCAAGGTTGGCCAGGGCATGTGGCCACTCGGAGCACAAGGCCACACCACAGCCCAGCAGAGTCGGCAAGCCTGGGGCTGGGGGATGGACCCGGATAGAGCACGCTGAGGCCACACTCACCTGGGCAGTTCAGGGAGCCGGGCCCCACACGCATCCAGGAAGTGGGCCCCTGCCTGCAGGGCCCAGCGGTAATGCTGCATGAGCAGGGCACGCCGGGTCACGGCGGGGTTGTCTCTGGCATCCGAGGCAGCATTCTTCAGAGGAGAGAACTCCTCCTCCCGAGACACTTCAAAGGCCACGAAACTCCTGTGTGGATGAGAACTAGTGACCAGATGTCCTGGCCAGAGGCCCTGGTCCTGGGCAGGTGAAGGCTGCACTGCAGTGACGATGAGAAGGGGCAGTCGCCTCTATGGAGGGGCCACAGGCAACACCTGCATCTTTGCTCCTGAGATCCCTGCGGCTGCTTGACGTCCTTCCATTCCCACCAGCCAAACCCCCAGACCCTGGGACCCCAGAGTAAGAGCCAACCCCCCCCCCGGGGAGGCCCCCAGCCCCCTGGCCTGGAAACAACCTCCTAACCCCGGGCCAGGAACAGACAGAGGGCTCAGGAGGAGCAGGGGTGTCTCCCCGAGTACACAGCCCCAGATGCTGCCATGCTCACAATGCGGGGGCTGCTTCCCCTGGTGTTGTCCCTGAGCCTGCCTACAGCCCCTGCTCCCCACTGCAAAGGGGGTGGCCCACTGTGTGCCCCACATGCCTCCATTCCCGGCCCAGCTGGGCCTCAGAACCCACCACCAAAACAGAGAGGAAAGAAAGAAAAAATAAATGACTTCTGCCACTAACTTAGCAAACGGGAACACATCAAACACAAACTTCTCCATCTTTATCCCGTTTGGTTTTATCGGCTTTACCGGATTTCCCTCCTCATCCACGTATGGGACCTTCTTCACAGCCACATGTGGCTTCAGCAAGGGCTCAAACTCGCTGGAGAACAACAGGATGACAAGACGAGGAAAGACACAGTTCAGACAGGACACCCCGGGGAGCCACTCTGGCCACCACCCGCGGCCACCTGCTGAGCACACCTGCTGACCATCTGGAGGAAGCCTCGGGTGAAGAAGTGGTTGCAGATGTTGCCCAGGCTGTAGAGCAGGTGCCCATCAGGCCCACGAAGCTGAGCAGTCTCGGGGCTGACCTCGCTGTACTCCACCACCTGGGGGACCCCGTCCACCTGGCACACCACACCCACTGGCTCCTCTGGGTAGGCCTTTTCCACCACCTGCGGCCAAGGCCTGGGCTGGGAAGGCTGACGGGGCGGGGCCCGGCAGACCGAGGGCGGGGCTGGGAGGAGGGGCGGGGCCAGGCGGACAGGGGGCGGGGGGGAGGAAGGGCTTGGCGGACAGGGTACGGGCCAAGCGGACCGAGGCGAGGAGGGGCGGGGCGAGGCAGACCGGGGCGGGGCCAGGTGGACCGGGGTGGGACTGGGAGGAGGGACATGACCGGGTGGACCGGGGACGGGCGGGGGAGGGGGCTGGGCAAGCCGGGGGGGCGGGGTGGGGGGGTGGGGGGGGGCTCACCTTGGCCCCACAGTCTGCGCCGCGAAGCACGCAGAAGCCAATGAAGACCGGGTCAGCCAGCCGCACGAGGATGTTGTCCACACAGTACACATGCACAAACTCCACTCCTCGACGCTCCATGTCCTCCAGAATCTGGTGGTCTGACAGTGCGCAGTAGAGCCCCCCATTGCCATCTGCAGAGGGAGAAGGACCGCTCTTTCGAGGACTCCAGCTGGGCTTCAGCCATCTAGTCCAGGGCGTGCTGGAGGCAGGGGAGGCCCCTTGGGGCTGGACCTTGTACCTGAGGCAGCACTTCATCACAATCCAAGTAGCCCTATGGTTGTCTCATGTGACAGATGGGAATCAAGGTCCAGAGAGGGGGGGCCCCTTGACGGGGACCACAAAACCTGGGGACAGTCTAGGGGTGGGGATGTGTGACTCCCCTTCCTTGTGCAGCTGGGGCAAGGGTGGCTCAGCTGCTCTGCCCCCTCACCAGAACCCGGCCTGAAATGCTGGGGAAAAGGTAGCTCCTCCTGGGGCGCATATGATGGAGCAGCAGTGATGATAGCAGGCAGAGGGCGTTGCGGAGGAGGATCCCTGCTCCCAGCAGGGCCTCTGGCTCCCATTTTCCCCTCTGTCCACAGTTGGAAGCAGGAACTCATGGTCCTCCCAGAAGCTCTAGGAATGTGGGAGTTTCCTGACCATACTGCCATGAGTCCTGGGAGGCCATTCCTCTGCCCGGATGCTCCTGTGTGTCCCTGCCAGTCCCCAGTGCTGTTTCTCAAAGGACACTGGCCCTGTTCCTATGCAGCAGCCTTCCTCACTTACAGCCTGCTTGACTCTCCCCCTGGTGCCCCAACCTTCACACTCCTGATGGTTCCTATGCTGTCAGGTCAGCTGGTCTCGTGACCCACCCAGAGCTGGTAGCCCTGACATCTGGAGTCCGTGTGGGTCTGTGTCAGTCTTGCATCCCCATCCAGGCTTTCTGCTCCCCGGGTCCCCATCCTGTCCTTGCTCTCTTCCATGGTGACAGTGGCCTCTGCACCGCACATCTCCTGGCGACTTCCAGCCTGGACCTCAGGGTTCTTGTGACATTTCGAATCCAGCATCTAGAACAAAACTCCCAAGTCTAGTTGGGAGGACCTTCCATGTCTAGTAATCTGCTAGCCACTCCTCAGATGCCCCAGGCCTCCACGCCCACAGCCCAGCCCCCACTCCGCTCACATCTGCTGGCTGGATCCTGAAGCTCCTCAGGTGGGGTCCCTGGTCCCCCAGGTGCCAACCTGACTGGCTGGTTGCTGCTGGATTCTGCCCAGCAAAGGCCTTGTGAAAGGAGGGTAACCGGTTCCTAAGATGCAGTCTCAGGGGAGGAAACCGAATGTCTGCATCATTCCCCTCAGGGTGGGTGGCACCACGTCTGCAGGTTCAGAAGCTTTAGAAAAGTCCAAGTGTCAGGCTGTAAGTGTGCAGCCCCAGGCTTCCCAACTGGGCCTCCACCCCTTGCTCAGCAGGCCTGCCTTGGCTGCATGTAACTGTCCTTGGGGGCCAGCGGTCCTGAGCATTAGGCGTTTCCCACCACCCCTGAGGGAGTGAGAACTGTGTAAGTGAACGAGGGCCCCACCTGGCCTGCTCCTGACCCCATGTGTTCATTATCTTGCTGTCAAACATGAGAGGGCTTAGAACTCAGTTGGTCCATCCCTGTGCAACTTCAAAAGCTGCACAGATGCCTGGGGCACAGGGCCATCAGCTCCACTGTACCTGTGCCAGCAGGGTGGTCCCCACCCAGGCTCCAAGCCCCATCTTACTTCCCACTTTCTCAGGCCAGTCCAGGGGTCTGCCATCCCAGCTGGAGTTCTCTGGAAGCAGATGCTGAAATAGAGTTTGGGATACAGGAAAGCAGTTGGGGTACCACACTGGACAGGATGGGAGCGGGCAATCAGCTGCAATGGCAGTCTGCCACGCCTTGGTCGGGCTTTTTGTACCTTCACCTGAGTCACTGGGAATTGGGGAGGGTGTGCCGATGTGTGACAGCTCCTGAAGGTGAGGCTGACCCCGAAAGAGCCAATGGCTGGGGCTGTCTGCTGGCCACACTGTACTCAATGGGTAGCAAGCCTTTCCTGGCAGCACACGTCCATGTCCACCACACCCCTTCACCCCAGCACCTAGGGATTTCCCGGCCTCAGGCAGCTCCCACCTGCTGCCCCAAAGCCCCTGCAGCCTTCACAATCAGGGGGGACAAGCAGACAAGCTGCACGGCAGCCACAGAGGAGCCTGGCCCACTCTTTCTGGACCAGGAGGGTTCAACCAAGGCTGACTCAGAGGTGAAGGAAACCAGTGTCTGGAAGAGACCTACAGAAACAAGGAGAGCAGTGCCCCTGAAACAGGATCCAGGATCACTGGGGTTAAAATGCCCTGAGAAATTCAAGGAAGTATCACATATATTGAATGGGAATAAATTGCTATAAAAGAAAAGGAACAAGAGAGGCTCGTGGTAATTAAAAATATTGCTGCTGATAAAATTCCACAAAATAGTGGAATAATGGAATATGGAGTGAAAAACAAAAAGGGTGATGGTGGCAAAAACATACCATGAAAGAAAAGACATGGAGGCCTACCCTAGCGCTTCTCAGATCTTTTCATGCAGACAAGCCACCTGCAGATCTTAAAATGCATATTCTGACCCTGGGATTCTGGGGTGAAGCCTGAGTTTCTCCAGTTCCCACATCTTCCAAGGGAGCTGCTGCTGCCGCTACTGGTCCAACAGGCTGTCCTTGGAATCCTTGAGGGTCAATCAGGTGAGAAGGAGAATAGGGAAGTAGAAGGGAGCCTAACAGAAGACATTTGGCAGCGGAAAACCTTCTGGTTTCAGGCCGTGGAGGACAGATGAACAAAACCCACTTCTGAATACATCTTGTGACATTTCAGAGTTCCAAGGATCGGTGAAGGTCTCAAAATAATTCAGAAAGGAAAAGCAGGTCAGCCACAGCCACCATAACCCTGATACCAGAAAGCAAAGGCACACCTTCCAAATCCTGACAGGCAATGGAACTCTGCTTCCAGTAACAGTTTTGTTTTGTTTTTTTAAAGATTTTATTTAGTCATAAGAGACAGAGAGAGAGAGAGACAGAGGCAGAGACACAGGCAGAGGGAGAAGCAGGCTCCATGCAGGGAGCCCGACATGGGACTTGATCCCGGGACTCCAGGATCACGCCCTGGGCCAAAGGCAGATGCTCAACCGCTGAGCCACCCAGGCATCCCAACACTGTTTTGAAGGAAAGCCAATTTCATCTGATATTAGCATAAACACACCAGTTCATTCATGCTTGTTGTTCCCATAGCATTTTCCAATGTAACAATAAGACAAATAAGCACCTAAAAACAGACTCCCCAAAATACATGAAGCAAAAACTTCCAGAACTAGGAGCACCTAGATGTCTCAGTAGGCTAAGCATCTGACTCCTGGTTTTGGTCAGGTCGTGATCTCAGGGCTGTGAGATGGACACCCAGGCCAGGCCCTGAGCTGTGTGCGGACTCTGCTTGAGATCCTCCCTTTCCCTCTGGCCCTCCCCCAACCTCACTCATGCTCAGTGCTCTCTCTTTTTTTTATTTTTTTATTTTTTTATTTACTTAGGATAGTCACAGAGAGAGAGAGAGAGGCAGAGACACAGGCAGAGGGAGAAGCAGGCTCCATGCACCGGGAGCCCGATGTGGGATTCGATCCCGGGTCTCCAGGATCGCGCCCTGGGCCAAAGGCAGGCACCAAACCGCTGCGCCACCCAGGGATCCCTCAGTGCTCTCTCTTTCTCAAATAAATAGATACATAAATAAAATCTTTTTTTTAAACTTACAGAAATGAAGAAATAGACAATTGACAAATAATATTTAATATCTAACTCTCAATATGGGTAGAACAAGTAAGCAGAGTGTCAGCAAGGGTTAAGAAGACTTGAACGATGCTAACAGCCAATCTGACCTCACTGGCATCTATACAACACTCTACCCAGCCACAGCAAGTGATACATTTTTCTCACGTGTATATGGAACGTTCTCCAGTGTAGAACATATGCTAGTCCATGAAACAGGTCTATATAAATTTAAAATATATGAAGTCATGCAATATATTTTAATCATAATGGAATAAAACTAGAAATAAAAAAGAAGAAAAGGAACGCCTGGGTGGTTGGGTCAGTTGAGTATCCGGCTCTTATTTTCCACTGGGGTAGTGATGTCACGGGTCCTGGGATCAAGCCCTGTTGGGGGTCTGGGATCAAGCCCTGTTGGAGGTCTGAGCTCGGCAGGGAGTTACATAAGATCCCCTCCCCTCACCCCTCCCCACCACACTCTCCCCCTCCCCCTCAAATAAATGAATAAATATTTTTTAAAAAGTACCAAATTAAAAAGAAGAAAGATTTTGGAAATCCATATTTTTTTTTATTTATGATAGTCACACACACACACACACACACACACACAGAGGCAGAGACACAGGCAGAGGGAGAAGCAGGCTCCATGCACCGGGAGCCCAACATGGGCCGCTGGGCCACCCGGGGATCCCGGAAATCCATAAATTAAAATTAAATTAAATTAACCCGGGATCCCTGGGTGGCGCAGAGGTTTGGCGCCTGCCTTTGGCCCAGGGCGCGATCCTGGAGACCCAGGATCGAATCCCACGTCGGGCTCCCGGTGCATGGAGCCTGCTTCTCCCTCTGCCTGTGTCTCTGCCTCTCTCTCTCTCTCTCTCTCTCTCTCTCTCTCTCTCTGTGACTATCATAAATAAATAAAAAAATAAAAAATAAAAAAAATAAATTAAATTAACCCATAAATTAAAACAACATACTTTTAGGGGAACCAGGGATCAAGAAAGAAATCACAGAGAAATTAGAAAATACTTTCAATCGAATGAAAACAAACCAACAAAAATGTTGAAATGTATAAAGTGCAGCTAAAAGCAGAGCTTACAGGGAAATGTTTAAGTATAAATATATCAGAGGAGATGAGAGCTCCCAAAATTTATGACGCAATTGCCTACCTTAAGAAACTGGGGGAAAGGGGATCCCTGGGTGGCGCAGCGGTTTGGCGCCTGCCTTTGGCCCAGGGCGCGATCCTGGAGACCCGGGATCGAATCCCACGTCGGGCTCCCGGTGCATGGAGCCTGCTTCTCCCTCTGCCTGTGTCTCTGCCTCTCTCTCTCTCT